GGTGTAAGACAGGGATGTGTTATGTCATCTCTCCTCTTCAACCTTGTGATTGATTGGATAATAAAGAACAGAGTAGACAGGACATTAAGAGGCATACGATGGACTCCATTCATCATGCTTGAGGACCTTGATTTTGCAGATGATATAGCACTCCTATCACATAAACATGAACATATACAAGAGAAAAGCAACAGACTACACTGCACAGCAGAAATGGTGGGACTGAGAATAAATACAAAGAAAACTAAGATCATGACAAACAGTCCAAACCAACAAACAGTGACCATAAGTAACCAATCACTTGAAAATGCAGAACATTTCACATATCTTGGCAGTGTGGTGTCCCTACTGGGAGGGACAGAGGAAGACATACAGTCACGCCTGAACAAAGCTAGAGCTACTTTTGGAAGGATGAGGCAAATCTGGAAATCCAACAATTACTGCAGAGGAACGAAACTCCAACTCTACAAGAGCATAATTTTGCCAGTTCTTCTTTATGGAGCGGAATGCTGGAGAATGACCAAAAAGGATGAACACAAGCTGTCCACCTTCCACCACACATGTCTACGCAGAATTATCAAAATTTTCTGGTCAGAGACAATCTCAAACACTAAACTACTTCAAGCCACAAACCAAGAAACTTTAGACAGTATGATTACCAAGAGAAGATGGAAATGGCTTGGCCACGTTATGAGAATGGCTTCTGATATACCTGCCAAAACAGCTCTAACATGGACACCAGAGGGAAAGAGAAAACAGGGGCGCCCAAAAACAACATGGAGACGAACGATGGAAAGTGACCTGAGTGCGGCATCTTTGACATAGAAAACTGCACTGAAGATTGCACAGGACAGGAAAGTATGGAAAGTTCTCTCTGAAGCCTCATGTGCCACTAGGCATAACGAGAACTGATGATGGTGAATCTCGTGCGTTCAGCTGCGTACTGTGTTCAACAGACATTGAGAGTGGGAGGCAAACAGGGAAGGCGGACAGGCTGAGAGACAGTAAATAGATAGATAGATAGATAGATAGATAGAAAGATAGATAGATAGATAGATAGATAGATAGATAGATAGATAGATAGATAGATAGATAGATAGATAGATAGATAGATAGATAGATAGATATAGATAGATAGATAGATAGATATATTAGATAGATAGATAGATAGATAGATAGATAGATAGATAGATAGATAGATAGATAGATAGATAGATAGATAGATAGAATGATAGATAGATAGATAGATAGATAGATAGATAGATAGCTAGATAGCTAGATAGCTAGCTAGCTAGCTAGCTAGATAGATAGATAGATAGATAGATAGATAGATAGATAGATAGATAGATAGATAGATAGATAGATAGATAGATAGATAGATAGATAGATAGATAGATAGATAGACAGATAGACAGATAGACAGATAGACAGATAGACAGATAGATAGATAGATAGATAGATAGATAGATAGATAGATAGATAGATAGATAGATAGATAGATAGATAGATAGATAGATAGATAGATAGATAGATAGATAGATACAACAAACTTTATTTTCAAAAGGTTAATAATTCGGCGCGAGGGCCATTTTAACATTTTGCCTTCTTATATCCCTCCTATTATTCACAATTTATTCAAACACCATTTCATTCATTCGTCTAATAAAATAATTAGACAGGTTGGTAAGTAGATCTTTTTAAACTAGTAACGAACTCAGGCCCAGCTCCGCCCATCTACACACTGGGTCACCTTTTACTGATGCTTGGTCAGGCTCAAGGTTACAGGGGTGTCCCGGTGAACTGCTATAGACTACACTCTCTCGTGGGACCTAGGTTCAGTGTGTGTGTGTGTGGGGGAGGGGGTTGGCGAGGGTTGGGTTTAGGGCCAAATGTACGTGTTATGGGGTCGTTAAAGGCGCCCACATCCTGGCTGGACTCAGTCAATCACAAGTGTGTAGATGGGCGGAGCTGGGGCCTGAGTTCGTTATATGTACCGGTTATTTATATATTTTGGAATGCTGGTTGGTCGATAGAAGGACAGAGAGGCACATAGATAGGTATCCTGAAGAAGAAGAGAAAAATAAAAGGTGAACAAGAAAAAGTACTAACAGAAAGAAGCTGTGAATGAACATGCCTAAAGTTAAGGTTTAACACACACACACACACTCACACACATATACACAGCCTGTCTTACTACGCAAGCACATATTTTCCCCCCACTAAAGCAAAACGCGTCCCCTGTTGGCAGTAGATTACCCCAGCTGCCAGGCGGATAAAAATGCTGGTATCATAAGATAGTTTATCACCGTGTCAGACGTGCAGGTATTGCCAGATGTTCTCGCCCTCCTGTGCAAAATGTTAAACTCTATGTCAGGTGTAGTTTTATGATCATGCCTCGCAGCAAGCTGATATCTTTCTCACCTTCCTTGCTTTCTAGCCTGGCATGTTCAGAGATTTTTAAAACATGCACTGGGGGGGGGGGGGGGGGGGGGGTATTATTCCGTTTTTGACTCACTACTTATGCCGTAAATCGTCACAGAAAGGAGTTAGATGCAGTTTCCTATTTCTTGCTAGTTGCCTAGCTTGTGTTGAAAATGTCAGCTGCGTTTCTGTAATGTTTCTTTTACTCTCTCCAGCCATCATTTTGTTGGTCGATCTCTTGTCATGTGGTACGCTCTAGCTGAGCAAGTATTTTGTGGTTAAATGACAAACATAGATATGCAATAGAAAACAAATTGTCATATCCCAGTTAAAAGACAAGACGTTTTAAAGTAAATAGGATATCACTACTTAAACTACCACAACTTGTAATTAAAGGAGATCGTGTCAATACCGAATAATTGCTTATTACAAGAATGGAGTTATTCTGTGCTTGTAGATCCCCCTGATGGGGTACGGGTGGGTGTAGGGTAGAAAGGAGAATAGACACAATGCCCTTAATAAGCATGTTGTAAAAGAAGGCAAATTAATGTTTTGTTAGAATCGGATGTGTTGGGCCGATTTCGCAGCCCAGCGGTAAACCACAACACAATATACCAACCAACCATTTAAGGGCGAACACAGTTTATAGAAGCAGTAAAAGAAATAGAAGAAAAAGATGAAGAAGAAGAAAATAATAATAAAAATAATAGTAATAATAAATATAATAATAATAATAATAATAATAATAATAATAATAATACGATGAAGAAGAAGATCAGGCCCTGAATAGAAAATTCACTGAGAAACCGTGTACTGGCATTCACTGAACAAGCTTGCTGTTTGCAGTGAAACAGATTCTAAAAACGTCTGCCTGCAAATGTGTGTTTATGTATGGGGCACCCTCAACGTTTATAACACAGTCTTTACTGGGCAGGAATTATAGTGTACTGTCAAGTGCTATGTTGTTTTATGTACTAGAACGGAAGGCCCTAAGTACACAGATAAAAATAAAGAAAAAGAGCTTGTTAGGCGGGGACTAGAAACAGAAATATTCTAGTCTAGACATGATATCTTCTGTGTACAGTCTAGATCAGCCAAGTAACAAATAAACTAGGTACACTAACTACAAGTCATAACCTGAGCGGAAAAAACTGGAACTATGATTACTACATTAAACATCTGTTTATTTCACTTAACATGTAATCAGCGTGGTCCACAAATAATACCATTAACAACAACCAACGTGCTCGACCAGAATCTAAAGTGCTAATCATCTCCAGCTAACAAGGAAATGTTATTATGACACCATACCCTCAGCGAGATTACCTCAACAATGGCAAAAACCCAAAACATATTAAACATGTATGTTAAGCTTCAATATGTCACCAGACCAACAAATCACTTATAGCGACCTGCCATTGAAGCGAGAATACACCCCGACATATTACACTGTATAACTACTATAGACTACTATTTCAAGACTAAATATGGAAACATACCACCGCCGCAAAATCAGCTCTGTCTTCCGGTGCAGTCGCCCATACCCATGCTGGCTTGCCCAATGTGCAGAGCTACAACAGCTGGGTAGGTCTCCACAGGGTGCGTCTGGAAGTCAAATAGACCCAAACAGCGAGGGAGCTGGCCTTTTTATACACAGTGGCCAGATTTTTCCGCTTTCGTAAATCAGACTAAATGATGGTATCGGCCAAACAAACTAAAATCGATAAGCTGCTGAACAGCAGTCTTGGACGTTCTCGAACCTATTACATTTACCCTCAAGCGATGAATAAAGTTATGAAAAACATCTTGAAGTATTACATGACACAGCAGTTAGAAACGACATCAATTTAACACTTTGTATAGCAGTTGCGTAGTCTAGCAGACTCGGGATAGTAGCATTATCTACAAATGAGTGTCATTCTGTTGAGGCAGCTATACAACAGATGAGGATAGCAGCAAAACGATATGTGTCAAGATTATTGTACAGGTGTTGTGTTGACTAGTTATGCATCGCATAAGAGAAACATATTTATTAGATGTCACTGCTCTGTCACTAAGCAGTTAAATTGTTTTTTTCTTGTTGTGGTAATTGTTGTCTTTCAAGATTGCTGCCATAGGATTAACACATCAAGTTTGAGAACTAAACAATAGATACACACACAAAATTAATTTTTAAAAAAAACCTGTTCTGTATAAAGTTGGCAAACTGGTAAGTTGATGAATGACAAGCTAATGTTTTTAGCGCCCTCTGGGAGCAAGTAAACAAGTCATCATGGTTTGATATGAATGATGCAGCGAGGAATGACTAGGGAATCTCACACTCATCACTCAGTAACTGGGTCCGAACCCTACACCTCCGATACAAGCTCTTTTCTGAGGCTCTGTAATATATACTTTATACTGTACGCTATGTCCAAACCCCCCAACCCCCATCTTTTGTACATGATGTCTAAGACCTTATTTATAGAGTATATTATGTCTAAGTCCTTGATACCATAAAATACTTTTATTTTCCTTGTAAATGAAAATAAGCAAGTTGAATGTTTAAAACCCTAATTGTTATTTCATTATCGTTTCAGCGTGAGTGCATCTCTATTCACGTGGGACAAGCTGGAGTCCAGATCGGCAATGCCTGCTGGGAACTTTATTGTCTGGAGCATGGCATCCAGCCGAGCGGTCACATGGAAGACCTCAAACTGGCTACCAACAATGGTGATGAGAGCTACAACACTTTCTTCAGTGAGACCAGCATGGGCAAACATGTACCTAGAGCTATCTATGTTGATCTGGAGCCAAGTGTTGTGGGTACGCTGCCTTTACTCTTTTTATGTGCAAATAGTAAAAGATCCTTTTCTGTGTCTTGAGAAGTGATGGATTAGAGTACTAACCCTATATTTGCAAAGACCTATTAGTACTTTAGTTGCCTGTACTTTTCAGGATATTCCATGGTGCTGTTGTTGTTGTTCATCCATCGCAAGTGATGAAGACCACTTTTATCCAAAGTAGTAATGATCCATGATTATGAGTACGAAGGTGGCTGATTAGTTCAATATGAGCTTGGAAAGTTCTTGAGCAGTGCGGAAAACAGGTGAAAGCTGCAGTAAGTGTAGGATTAGCAGAAGGGTTCTTTCTAGTCTGCCTCCGTTTCTCTGCCTGTGCAACCTCCGCTGCCTGGCAGGCCGATGCACCATGCCTGAGGGACGTATGCCTGAGGGACGTACGCAATCCAGAACGGCCTTGTACAGCAGCCTCCCAGTGGCGCTGTACTCATTTTAGGCTGTATCAATCTGAGAGTCCAGGCTAGTGATTTAAATAAAAAATGCCAGTCCTTATGATTATTTGAAAACCACTATGCCTACTGGCAGACATGCTACCCATTGAATTACTGCTGCTTCACCATGGTATTTGCAGTATATGTGTGGCTGATTCCAAAAACAGCAATACTTACTTAATAGATACTCTTCCATTGTGGGATGTATAGGCTAGCCATAGAATCACCAGACATATCTATCAGCACTTTTATTTTTGGCTTTGTACCATTCTTGTTCCTCTATCAGTCAGGGATTGTTGAATGTTATCTTCCCCGCAAACCCTGGGTCATCCCAGAGACCGTGTTCTCACAGTCTTGGCTGCCCATGTCTTCCTTGGTGGCCGATTCTCTCACACTCTGGCAGGATTTTCAGGTCTTGTTTAAAAAACATCTGGAGTATTATAGAAATTTATGTCAAATTTCTAGGTAGGAAACAAGGCAAGCAGTGCCAGGTGAATGCAAGAATGAAATCATTTAAAGCACATCACTCTAAAAGACTCTTAGTCTTTTGTCTGTTCTGCTGCCTCGTGCATATTTTAGGCTCATGGCTATGGTTCTCAACCTTCCTAATGCTGTGACCCTTGAATACAGTTCCTCATGTTTGGGTGACCCCCAGCCATCAAATTATTTTTGTTGCTACTTCATAACTTAGTGAATATGTGTTTTCCTATGGTCTTAGGAGACCCCTGTGAAAGGCTCGTTAGACCCCCAAAAGAGTCGCAACCCATAGGTTGAGAACCGCTGGCTTAGGGTATCAATAATTCCACCTTTACATTTGTCTACCCTTGTCTCTTCTTCCATAAACCTTTTTTTTTTAATTACCCTTTTTTCCTAAGCTATTGTTAAAATAAATATTGAGCCAGAATATTTCATTTGCTGTCGTTTATAAGCCAGTTTCTTTTGATCTTCAATTCAAGTAAAAGTGTCTACTTCTTTATTCTATATATTCAAAGAATATAGTAGTACTATTGAAGTTCAAAGCTTTTATAGTCTTCTTTTTTGTTAATGTGAAATGATTATGATTCACACAGAAGTGTGCTAGTTCTCATAATGTTTACTTTTATTTGTTTGCTGGTGTTTTGGAAAAGTTTTCTTAGTACTATTTAACCACTGAATTATAGAAAGCCAATTTGAGTCTCTAGAGATTTGGAACTACAGAACAATGTTGTTGTTTTCATGGAATCAAAAAAGAAACAAATACAGAGGTTCTGAAAAGACTAGGAATTAAAAGAGATTTACCAAATGAAATTAAAAAACAAAACCAAATGAGACCATAGTACTATAACACATGTCGTTGAGTCACCAGCTGCTGTTGACTGACTGATCAATTCCTTCCATCTCTATCAGTCAAATGAAATGGACTTGATATTTGCACATCTGAGGCTTGCACAGTCAGCCAAGTTCTCTATTCAGGTCTTTTATGGTTTGCCTCTTTCCCTCTACCAAGCACCTCACTATCATTTTTAACAGGCAGGTAGTGAAATAATAGCAGTGAATCAAGAGGTCTGGAAAAGATGCTGGTATCGGACAGGGCATACATTAAAAAAAAACACTTAAGAACAGTATAAATAGAAAGGTTTTAAAATGGAACGCACGAATGCACAAAAACTACGTGGAGAAGGAAACTAGACAGCGAAGTTAAAATGATGGGTAAGACATGGGGTGAGCTGCATGTGATAGCAAAGGATAGGATGACTTGATGTGAGTTGGTTGAGGGGCTATGCTCCAATGGTAGCTAAAGGGCAGAAGAAGAAGGTAGTGAAATATTTTTGGCAGTATTAAAACACACTCTCATTGAAACCAAACTGGAGGGAAAACTGAATGCATGTGAGCAAAAATAGGTAGCCAGCAATAAAAGTAGAGTGATAACATCATGAGATGAATCAAGAGGTCCATTGTAGACAACTTTCACTGTGAATATGGCACCTGATTGATTGAATATCCACATTGCTAATAATTAGTTAGTTAGTTAGTTAGTTAGTTGTGTTATCATCATTGCACTCCGGACATGTCCATAGGTGCTCAGATCCTCCCCTCAGTATGAATCCCAACGTCCGATGGCTAATAGTACCAGTTCTATGTTGATTAACAAGTCTTCTGACGTGTCCGGTGTGCGTCTCGTTTTTTGCTGTGCCGATCTTAATTCCCAAGTCTGCCATTCTGGCGAGTGATGTGGATTCACTGCCACCAAAGTCCTCTATCCTTCCCATTTCTCTGAGGGCATTGATAATATCAGCATGATCCATAGGCCGACCGTCGGTAGTGATAGTGGATCCAGCCAACCTGTCAGCTCTTTCATTTCCATCGACGCCTGCGTGTCCCGGAACAAAAATAAAGGTGACTCCTCGCACAGTGGACTTCTGAATTGATTCAAGCCATTGTCTTCGCACTGAACCTGCCTGAACCCTCCGGATCATACTCATTGAATCACTGAGTATACATATGCGGGTGTATTTTTGTGTTTCAAGCCAGGCAAACGCTTGCGTCACTGCCATCACCTCCATCGTCATGCTGCTGGTTGTCATGGAGAAGGCGCCGTTGGCTTCTTTGACTGTTCTGCCCGCTGAGCGTGCTGTAAATGCCCATGCGCTTCTTCTTTGGCGTATAACGGATCCGTCTGTATAGATTAGTGCATCTGCTTCGTCTGAATTTTCACCGATGAGAGCGTTGACCTCTGCGTTAACAGCAACAGGATTCTCTTCTCTACATCGCCTGTTGAGTGTGACAATACAGGAAAATGTACAAATAAACCGCCTGAGGCACAGGTATCCATTCTGCACCAGGTATGATGTCGGTTAGGCTGCATATTTGCCTAATAACATCTTCTGCCCGACCTAGCCACGATTTTTCCCCTCTTCAGTCTGTCGCCCTTTTCACTAAAAAGCGCTTGATGCAGTGGGGGTGTTTTCTTATCAGCACATATTTTGAGGTATGCCCGAGCCCTCCACATCCTGATCCTTTGGTTCATTGTTGGAAAGTCAAGTAGATACCTCATTGCTCCACAGGATGTTGTCTCTTGTACATCCCAAAATAATACGCATGGCTTCATTTTGCACCTTCTCGAGTCGTTCAATCTGGGTAGCACTGACAGTGAGGATGGCCAGAGCGTATTCAATGGGGGAAAGGACCAGACCATAGAATAGAAGCACCAGCAGTCTTTGCTCGATATTGGAAGCAGCCATAATCCTCATTGCAGATAGACCTTTGCGTGCTTTTGTTATCGCATGGTCAACGTGTTCCCTGAATGACAAGCTGCGATCGAACCTCACCCCGAGAAACGTCATAACGTTGGTTCTGATCAATACATTATCACGCATTTTCACTTCTGGTAAGTCCGACTTGACAATGTGATTGTTCAAAGAGAACCATGACACTGATGCCTTCGAAGGATTGACATAGGCATTGGAACCATCACACCAGGCGGCAATTCGATCGAGTTCTTTGTGCATTGTGCTGGCGATCTCCTGTCTATCACGTCCTCGTCGATAAATCAAAATGTCATCAGCAAATGACAAAGTCCTTCCCTTTCCATTCAACTGCTGCTCAGTGATCATCACCGTATAAACATTGAATAAGACTGGTGATAGCGGTGATCCTGTGGCAAGCCTGGACATATCGTTTGCGGTTCTGAGGACCAGCTACCACATCTTAGTACAATCTTTCTCTGGAACAGGACCGCAGCAATCCAGCGGATCAGAATAGGATTGACTTCTAGTTTAAGCAGTAATTGCATTAAATAATCATATGGTACTTTATTGTAGGCATCTTCTAAGTCCAACACTGCCGCACATGTCTCTTCTTTAATCTGAAATCCCTCGTACACATCGTAGGCGAAAACAGCAGCATTGGACCATGTCTCTTTCTTCAATCTGTACCCTCCAAGTGTTGATGGGAACTTATCATGTAGTTCCAAGTAGGTGGTCAATCTTTGTGCGACAATTTTTTTCCAAAAGTTGGCCAACAGTATTCTGCATCGAGATGATTCTGTAGCCGCAGATCTTTGAGTGGTCTTTATTAGGCTTTGGTAGTGGAAACAAATAACTATGGAGCCATTCCTCTTGTATCTGGCCACTCTGGATGCTGATATTGAATTCCTTTGCCACGCTTTTCAAATCAGCATTCGACATCAAAAGCATGTCATTGTATCGGATGCCGTCAGGACCTGGAGCAGTGCTGCGCGATTTCTTGAGGCAAGTTCTTAAGGTGTCTGCAGTGATTGTGAAATCAGTGCCTAGCTCAGTGTTCTCGCACAGCATCGACAGTTTCATCTTAACCCCTATTCTTGCAGCTTGTCTTTTTGGTCAGTTTGCTCCAAGTAGCGCGCAAGAAGGGTTTTTTCCTTTATCAGCATCAGTTCTCTGCCATATCAGGTCTGTACCCTGAAAATCAGGGATACCCCTTGGTCGTGCGGCGCCGTGCATGCTCCGTTGAAGGGCGCCAGAATGTCACAAGAGATCCCTCAGAGCAAACGCTCTTGCAGAATTCGTTCCATTTCGCTGTCTTGGCTTCTTTCGCAATTAACTTGAAAGCCACTGTCCGCTTGTTGACCTCATCTTTCAGACTGATCAGGCGTTCAGAAAGTGACGGATCAATTTTCCTTGCCTTTTGCCATGCCTTGACAGCGTTCCCTTTTTTCTAGCCACGCTATGTTGACTACTTCATTCCACCATGGTGGCTGGGCCCATCTCTCCCGCCGTCTGCGATCTGCTCTTGTATTACGTCGTCGGATTTTGCTAATGGCATCTTGCCCTGTACGGTCAATATAATAAAAGCAGCAGGCACATTGATTACATGACCTTTGTTGTTGCTCTTCTCCACCAGGACGACGCAAGGAAAGTGATCACTGTCATGGTATCCCAGTGTGCTCCACCTGCATCCTGGTGCAATGGAGGGAGACACTAGGGCCAGGTCAATTACGCTGTCAGAATCCCCTTGTCGGGTTGCCATTCGGGTAACCTTTCCGTCGTTCAAGCATACTAGATCGGCAGACACTAGAGCATCCTCCAGGTCTTCCCCCTGTTTATTGGTGATTACATTGCCCCACTGGTGTCCTCTGGCGTTGAAATCTCCGCAGTAAAGGACTTTCTTTTCCTCAGTCTGGAGCAAACTCTGCCATTTCGCTGTATCCACCTTTCCATTGCAGGCGTACACATTGACAATCACAAACTGGGCCGGGCCCATCACTCTGACTGCGTGTACTTGTAGGTCGTCATTATCCCACTCAGACATGTCCACCTCAGACACCAGTATGTGGTGCTAATAATTATCACCAGCCAGCCTAAAGACTTCCATTAAACAGCAACATTTGTTGATAGTTTCAAAGCCAAACAATTTGAATATATAAAGATAAAGGTAATCTTGTTGTCAGTTTTTTTCTCTAAAAAAAACGAAATGTCTGAAAAAGGTGCCAGTACTCAAACAAAGTGACAATTATCATAGAGCTGAACAGAAAAAATGATGCCTTAAAAGAGGTGCCATTACAACATATTATTGCATACTACCCACAAAAAAAAAAAAAACATTGTAAATGCTGGCATTGGGATGGGAAGTATCAGTCACATATTATAGGCTATGATACATGACGCTGGATGGCCACTTCCTTCCTCATCACAATTTGTTTTAGATAATTTGTAGAAAACAAAACAAATTTACCACTTCTATAAACTGAATCTTGATTCCCCATGTGGAATCCATGGCCCACCTGTAAGAGGTGTAGTAGTGGGTTGCGCAGGGGGGAGGGGGATAGACTACTAAACATTTTGTAAAAATTGACTAATTAGGGATGCTTCCTTAAAGTCAGAGTGCATCTATCTGAGAGGCAAGGAACCAGCAGTCTGCATACAAATAAGCAAAATCTGTAAAATGGATGAGCATGCAAAACTCAAATTCTAGAACAAGTCCACAAGCGGAGGAAAAACCAGAACTTTCCACTGGAGTTCACAGCTGGTGAACATGAAGAAGAAGAAGAACCTAAATCACTTTCTTGACGAGCAGATACTCTGTGTGATGGGATAGCAAATTTTCTTTCTCATTCCTTCCAAAGACAATTTGAAGAACATGCTAGTAATTATATGGTACCTATTTTGTTAAGGCTGGTTTATGTGACAATTTCTGGGGATTGAGTACAAACTACTGTCTCTGCAGACAAGTACACTAACGACTGAACAACTGTGGCTCCTTTTAAAAACATATTCCATCTGTGAGTTGTTAGGCTCTATTTTTTAGAACAAAGGATACACCTACTGCTCCTTTAACAAGCATGTCACAGAGGTATTTCCTTCAGAGTCATAGTGCACCTGCTTGAGAGACAAGGAACCAACAGTGTGCTGAAAAAATAAGCCAGATCCCTAAAAATAGATGTGCTTGCAAAACTCAGCTCGATCAAGACCAAAGTCCAGGATTGGAGTAACAACTAGAACTTTCTGCCGGAGTTTACAGCCGGTGATTGTTAAGAAAAAAAAGAATAAATATGGTAGAATAATTTAAAAACACTTTTTTTTTATTCATATGACCTTTAGACGAGGTTCGCACAGGGAAGTACCGCCAGTTGTTTCACCCTGAACAACTGGTCAGTGGCAAGGAGGATGCTGCCAACAATTATGCGAGAGGTCACTACACTGTAGGCAAGGAAATTGTTGATCTAGTGATTGACCGAATCAGAAAACTGGTAAGTGATGGGCAAAACTTAATTTTTCTTCTGTGTTCATCTGAGGATGTAATTAGGTTGTGTTCATTTTCAGAAATCCTGTGATATTTCCAACTTTTTGGCTCACACGTCGAACTTCTTTATGTATTTGTGAGCCGGGTTAGCCTTTCTGTAAACCTCTATTATGTACAACTTAAAAAATGCCACAATTGATTGATTACCCTCTTTCGATTATGTAACCTCATGTACACAAAATCTCAAGATAGGCGTATCAGCCATGTGCACATGTGGAAAGGTGCCCCAGACAGCAGAGCATGTACTCCAGGACTGCACCGAATTTGACACATTAAGACAAACCTTTTGGCCAGAAAGAAAAACAGTGGAATGTAAACTCTATGGACCACTGAATGAATTAACAACAACAGTGAAATTTATACAAGAAACAAAATTGCTGATATAGACAACTTATTTCAGGCTAACAAAAGAAGAAGAAGAAGAAGAAGATTACCCTCATGGCAAAGATGAATGTTTTCATTAAAATATAGGGAAAGAAAACTAAAACAGCCTTTCTACACTTTAAGCACGTTTAAATGCAACATTAAATGTGACTAGAAAGCTCAATGAAGGGGATGGAAAAGACGCACACAGTCGCACATTTCTACCAAAGTCTTTATCAATAAAGAACTGAATACAACACAAACTGTGGCTAGAAAACTTGTACCTTTTTTTAAAAATGGCTTGAAGGACTAATTTCACCTATGTCAATTTGACAGCTTTTTATTTGGTTGAACTGGAGTATTGGAAGTCAGCTCAATTCAAATCTTATAAAAACAGACAGTTTTTTTGGCCGACATTGTGTAAATAGTGCCAAACATGGACCCTTACTACAACTAACGAGCAGAAGATCATAAGCATAGAGATGAGGTGTCTTAGGAGAGTTTTCGGTGTAACAAGAAGAGAAAAAATCAAGAATGAAGAAATTAGAAGAAGACTAGGACTGAAACCAGTCATACAATTCAATTAAAGAACAAGAAATGAGATGGTTTGGCCACCTGTTGAGAATGCCCTGGTACCAGCTGCCACACTGAAGAAATGTAATAAACACAGAGCAAGGGAAAGACTACGCAAGACATGGAGAGACATCATTAGGAGCAGCCTAAAAGAAATAAACACCAACTTGTACAATGCATTAGATAAAGCCCACAAACGATCCTTACATCTCCCCCAAACACCTCGTTCAGGTAAATGGTGGAAGAGAAGAAGAAGAATAAGAAGCTCAGTTCAAAGGAGAATTGCTGCATCTGCTCTGAAGTTGGTGCAAGCTTTTCATGCCGAAACTAAGTGTGCCTTTGTGTTGCAGTTAGTGTGTTAATGTAGGTTTGAAAGCCAACTTTCTTTTTGTAGTTTCTTTGCTGAAAAACCATGTGTACTGTCTAAATATTATAGGGATAGTGATTTATGAGTATATAAAGTAAAAAATCTCTTTGTTCTCAATCATTTAAAAAAATGTTTCTCTTATCTCTACTGGATAAGAGTCCACAGTTAATCCATAGTTCTGGTGTGAGAGCTGCACACATAATTTTGACAATTTTTATATTTGTATGCTGTGTTAAAGTTTCTCTTGCAAAAGGAATTATGCTTTTTTCTTGATCATTTTTTCTTTTTTTAAATTTGTGGTTCGGCCGATGGCTTGGAAGCCTCTTAAGCTTTTCAAACTAAGTAAGGGATTTTTTTTACTGTTTATGGGAGAGCTTCTCATTGCTCCATGTGTTATTAGTCAGCCCATATAGGGTTTACAAGTTTCACTAGTTTTTAGCTGCTTCAGCCCATGAGATTAAGGCTTATTCCATAAAAAGGTCAACCAGCTCCAGTGTTTTTATGCTGGCTCCTGCAGAGAGCAAAACATTTGCGATAACCTAGTGCACGGAAGTCAATCTTCTTGACTTTTAATTTTTAAATACAGTAAAACCTCACTAACCTGAACTTGTTTTAAAATAACACTCAGTGAACACATCAAAAAGATTTATTTTGTATAAATTTTCTGTAAGCACACACATTTTAATAGAAAGTGTTGACTTTTAGGTCTCTTCAAATTCATGTTAATGAGGTTTCACTGTATTATTAGTTCATCATTTACTGTTTGTGCATATTACTGTGAAGAACTAATGCTCACCTTTCACTGGTAAGCCATTTTTTCCCCTAACAGGCAGATCCATGCACAGGATTGCAAGGGTTCCTGGTGTTTCACAGTTTTGGTGGAGGAACTGGCTCTGGGTTTTCCTCCCTGCTAATGGAGAGACTGAGTGTTGATTATGGGAAGAAATCCAAACTGGAGTTTGCAGTCTACCCAGCTCCTCAGGTAGAGTCAGTTTCTTATACACTTCAATTACAACAATGTAATTTTCTTGGTTAATCTATATATACATCACTTATGTTGGATTAAAGCTATAGGAGGTAGACTATCCTCCTCCTAATCATCAGGGCTTTTCTTTGAATGCCAGTACACAATGGTACGTGGTTCAGGCACCTTTGTTTTTTACCCTTTCCCCATAAGAAGCCAAAAAAAACCATCAACACTCAAAGGAAAGATGAGATGGATATAAAATCAGACTGCTACTGGTACCACTGAAATTGCAACTCTGCTCTTGCTGCTGAATATGGGGACGGAGCACTTATGGGAATGTCCAAAGTGCTGTGATGTTGATTCTTAATTAAATATTAAACATTTAAAGGAAAGCAGTTTTAAAGAGACTATTCGAGCAAGAGCCTGGAGAGACAGAGTTCCTTTCAGGCAGACCATGATGTGAGAGACATTCTGCAAAGATCCTGCTACATGATGATATGAATTTAACACAAGACATACAGACTAACTAAATTCAGTGTGAAGCTGGAAGTTGGGATTCTTTGATAGAAATAAATGCAACAGACCCAGTAGCTTGTAAGGAGGTGAAACATTCTCTCTATTTACTGTGGCTAGCCTTCTTAGCCTTTTGGCTTTAATCAAATTGCAGCTCTGCTGCACTGGTCTGTCAAAGGGACCAGGATCTTCGGGCGGCCAGACAGCATTTGGGAGACTGATCCATTTAGAAGAATGATGAACAATGGTAAAGCCAGTAACTATTTACCATATTCCATTCACAGGTCTCTACTGCTGTGGTTGAGCCATATAACTCCATCTTGACTACCCACACAACTTTAGAGCACTCTGACTGTGCCTTCATGGTCGACAATGAGGCTATCTATGACATCTGCAGGTATGTGAAATATATGCACTATTTCAATGTCAGAATAATTGTTTTGTTTGTCCTATTACTTGCCTCACTTCAGGTTTCTGCTGCATTCCTTGTGTGGGTTCTAGGACCCCATTTCTGAGGGATGGTGGGAAAACAGAACAGAATAGAACCACTGACCTTTTAACAAGCATGTCATAAAGGCAACGATGTGCTGGGTTTAAAGCTGCAGATATTGCAGTCTAATTGTAAATCAATGTGTCAACTGCTCTTCTAACAGAGAATGGTGAAGAAGGAGATAAAGTATTCGATTTGTATTTTTTTTGTGCTTTATTTGTCCTATTGATTGTATTATAGTTAGTTCATGCAGCATATGTAAAATGCCACCAATGTGCGCTTTCACTGGACTAAATGGATGAAAATCGCTGGTCACTGACATCTTTTGGGTATAATTTAGAGGCCCTCAAATACTTCTGTAGTTAGTTATTTTAAAAACTTAGGTTGCCCTGGAGTCACATTGTAATGTCCATAAAGTGAAGAAGTTAATATGAAAGTTGAATTTTTATATTGATAGCTTTTCTGAAATTCAATACATTACTAAAATTCTTCTCTTAAATTCCTTACTTTTAGGAAATACATTTTTTTGTTAAAGTGGGAATATTAGTTGATTTCCTTTGTCAATAGTAGTACTAATTGTATTCCAGCTTATGCGAAATTACCTGAAGAATGAAAATTAGAATGATTTTAAGTTTAAAAAAAATTAGTTGTGAAGCAAGTTCCAGTTTGATCAGTGGCAAGAGCATTTTGCTTTGGGGAGTGACCTAGCCATGTTACGGTAAAATGTTTGCAACATGCTAATTGAGGACTAAAGAGAGACGAACCTTTGAGGCTGAACTCAAGGCTGCATGAAGGACAAAACTGGAGATAGAGAGGATGGCTCAGGATCGAACTGAGTGGCCACAGTTTGCTCTGCCTTATGTGCCTCTGGACACGATGAGAATTGATTGATTGAACTGTAGACTAAAACATTTGCTAGCCACTGAAAAGTTGTTCTACCAAGTGGATACAATTCTAGTAAACACTACAGTGCAACAGGCAACCATGTAACTCATCACAGCCAGTGGCTACCTTCTGTAGCAATTCAAGAATGGGTGTACCCTTCACGGCTGTTAAAATAACAATTGGCCATAACAAATATAGCCGTCATTTCTATTTGAAGGGTTAGGTGAAAACTGTTAAGTGGATTTTGAAGTCTGCTCCAAGGCAGTCAAGGCTGACAAAGATCAGTTTCATTTCTGTGCCAGGGCATGCAGGCATGCAGGGAAATTAGCAAGCTGAGAGGTTTGCAGTTAAGGCTACAGCGAAAGGCAGAGCCATGGACTAGGCTGATATACTGAATGCTCTATGAGAAGTAAGACATTTGCTACTATGTGACTAAACCTGCAACCATGACCAAACTGCAAGAGCAGAAAGTCAAAAAAGGCTGTAGCCAGGCAGGAGCACTATGCAGGAAGCCACAGAAGAATAAGAAACTAACACAGAACAGGTGTCATCAGCCACTACATGGTGTGGAATTTACCAAGGAGGGGATCCAAGTTATTATGGTTTTATGTGCAGTAAGGATAACTGAACTGAATTTCTACCCCACCAGGACATCAAACACCCAATGACACAAAGTGCCACCATGTGGATGAGGATCGCCGTGGAGAGGTCCCAGAAACCGCGTTCAGACATTTGGCCATATAAATGGCCTGCCTATATTGCGGCCCCTGGCAAAAGCCAGAGTGGGGCTTCAAATGACAAAAAATTTCGTCCTAAAAAGGACGAAATTTGGTATAACACTAGTAAGGGATAATCTGTTAACTAACTAACTAATTAACATTAAACGGCTAACTTCTGTGCCATGAAGTTTACCAGGTATATGGTGACAGCCTCACGTTTTGAAAGACCAGTTGGTACATAAGGGTTATGTAGTCAGTGTCACACCAGTCCCTTTGTTTCACATCTATTTTCTGATTCTATTTTACAACTGGTCAACATGACATGCCAGGCAGGCATGCCACCATGAAGAAAAAACAAACTGGGTTGGCTTATGTCCCTTTCCCCATGACTTACAAATTTTTTAGGTAAGCATGGGGAAGGGAAAGGGGGCGGGGGAGTTGGGGGTTGTGAGGGTAAGAAATCACACAAGAGTTGAATATCTCAAGTTCTGTGTGATTGCTCAGTGTCTTTGATTTCCAGATGTTTAACAGTGTGTTAGAAGCACTTGATGCCAGCGCAATTCTAGATGATATTTCTGGCGCTGAATCCCATATAGATGTCATCTTACTTACTGTAAAGCTGTTGACTTTTTTCAAAAATGTGATTGTTTAGTTTGATGTTGTCTTAACTTTTGGTAAGACCAATAATTTTTTTTTTATGGTGTTAATTTGGAGACCAATTTGTCCTGAAACATTTTGGGGATGGTTTTTTTTCTCTCAGAAATCTGGGTGCATTGTACTCAGAAGCACTATTAATAATATGCTGAATGGCAAATCACTTTAATAATGTACCTGAAAACACATGAAATGTATAAATATATACGATTAGAGAAAATGTATTTACATTGTGAAAGGGGACCTCTTAGTCCTATACAAAATTATTGGATGGAGGGGTGGGGTGGGGGCAGGTACCAGCGCTTATTATTCCAGGTTACTTTATAAAAAAAAAAATCAGACCTTGATAGGGATTTGAACCTATGACCACTTAGACTAACAAGCTGGTAAATGTATGCGTTCTGATGAAGTGAAAGAGATGGGACTGAAATGGGATAACACACATATATAATGTTTTTTATTGTCCATTTTCAGGCGTAACCTTGACATTGAGCGTCCTTCATATGTAAACTTAAATCGACTTATCGGACAGATTGTGTCTTCCATTACTGCCTCTCTTCGATTTGATGGAGCTCTGAATGTGGATTTGACTGAGTTTCAAACCAATCTTGTGCCTTATCCCAGAATTCATTTCCCACTGGTTACATATGCACCAATAATATCAGGTAAAGAAACAGATTATAAGTACTTCTCATCCCCTCCCCCCTCCCCCACCTCCAATTGGTTGGAATTAGCCTATATCTGAAATTTTGTTTTCAACTCCTAATAAGACATCATGTGCGTGAGTCTGGACATGTAAACGATAGGAACATTGCAGTCTATATTACACATGGTATAAGAAACTGCTGTATCTCAAGGAAACTTAATGAATTTAAACTGACAATCCCATATTCTGTAAGAAGTAGCAATTCCTGGTAAATAAAAATGTGGCTTGGTAAACCACATGCCTATCTTTATATCACATGACCATTTAATCTTCCAGTGATAGGATGAACATTGTATCAACAGAGACCATGTGATAATGTATACTTCATTCAAAAGAATTAACATTTTATGTTTATTACAGTTGATATAACTCTGTAACAATGCACCTGATTAGAAACAGCTAAATATGCCAGGCAATACATTGTGCAGTATGTTGACTCATCTGCATCATTTAAAATCCTAAAACAATCTTGGATGATGAATCCATGAGAATGAAATGAAAGTTACAATAATGTGCAGACAGCATACAAAAATCTGGTAGAAAGGGGCTGACTAGAATTTTCAGATTTGGAATAGGACAGAAAAAAATTATCATTGAAAGGGCCTCTATGACTCTGCCACATGGGGTTGTGGTATTCCAAAGCAAACCCTCAAGTTTGTTTAACAAGATTACCCAGATTTTGTCAGTCAAAGAATGGCTTGTTAGGTGCAGCAGTCTATTCCACACCCACCCACTCACCTCCCACCCACCGACACACACAAACACATTTGATGAATCATGTACGCATGCACACTTGCTCGAACGCACGCGCTTGCCTGCACACATATACACACACACACGCGTGCACGCACCAACTCACAGTGAGTTCTGGAACTCACATGTTGACTTGTTTGTGTATTTCATGAGCTTTATTCTCTAAACAAAAATCAGAAATAATTTTTGTTGAAGAAAATATACATATTTCAGAAAGTAATGCCAGATTCACCAGTTTTCCCTACAGAATGAAAGTTATTATTATTATTTTTTTTTAACAAGCAAACAGTAAATAATCAATGTAAAAGAATATGTATATGTTTAAAAAGTATTCCAGATTCATAATTTTCTCATAGCTACATTTCTCCTCTACAAAGTAACAACAAAGGAAAAAATTAATGTTTCAGCAAGTCTTCTTCTTCTTCTACTTCTTTGATTCTTCTGTCAGAAAAACTTATTAAGAGACCAGTAGCCTTTATGAAAGCTGTCATGCAGTCCAACTCTCCCTGTGCACCATACAGCTTTGTCTTTATTGATGTTGCAACATGCCAAATTGCATCTCTGTTGACAAATTTTCAACAAGTAATTCTTGATTCATCATCCTTGTCTTACAGCGGAGAAAGCCTACCATGAGCAGATGTCAGTGGCAGAGATCACCAATGCATGTTTCGAGCCCTACAACCAGATGGTGAAATGTGACCCCCGCATGGGCAAGTACATGGCCTGCTGCATGCTCTACAGAGGAGATGTGGTACCTAAGGATGTCAACGTTGCCATAGCGACGATTAAAACGAAAAGGAGCATCCAGTTTGTTGACTGGTGTCCCACTGGGTTCAAAGTTGGCATTAACTATCAGCCGCCAACTATTGTTCCAGGTAATTGCTGTGTGTAAGGTTAACTCTTTGAGTCCCAGGGGGTTTTGCATCAAAGGCCCAACGGGGGGTAATATGATTTTGACTTTTAACAAATGCAGCACTTTAAAACAAACCACACAACTGCAGCTGACATCTAATATACACATATCATACATAAAATTAAACATAAATGGATAAGGATTAATATTAGCATACTGCTACAACAAACAATTATACTGTAAGTTAGTATTTAGTAGAGAAAACAGTGACTTAGTTTGAGAGGTGAGTAAATTATGACCAAGTATTTTCCACTTACCCAGAAGCTGATCCTAAAATTCTTGATATAGTATATCCAAAATGCATCACAAAGGAAGGTACACCACTTATAAGTATGCACAGCCAATATTAAAGCAAAATGTGCAATAGTTGTTGTTCCATAGCGTTCCATAGCAATTCTAATAACACTCCATAACAGGACAAAATATATTCTCCAGTGGGAAAAACAGTGACTTTTCTAAAAACAATTGAATTCCTCACATAGAAAAAACTGTAAAGGCACTGTAAACATGTCAACCTGCTCATAGATATATATCTATGGTTTTAGATAATATGGATAGTAGTACTAGAAGCGCTGACATTTGGACCAGCTGGTGTCGCGTTACGAGGTGCTTCTCTTGTGTTGCCATGACAGAATTAGTCAGTTTTGTCCTCTTAGCTGGAGGTAAATTACGCACACATTCCTCATCAAAACTTGACTCGTCAACGGTTTGGGGAAATTCCACGTCGCTACTATCATTATCCAACTCCACATTACTTTAATCGATCCACTGTTTTATCAAATTTGATGATTCTAAAGCAGTAAATCGCTTCGATGGGCGTGAAGATGATGACTGATCAGACGTTGTTTTCAGACAATTGTTTGGTTACGTAGTAGACCACACAAATATCGATTTAAAGCGTTAAAAACTCACCAGACCCAAACGAATGCACTCCACGTGTGTTCACTACACACTTGAGAACCAGAAAGGAAGTTTAAATTGAGCGGTTCACGTGTAATTACCGATAAGTGGTAAATTAAAACCGTCACACGTCGCGCGCTGTTTGGGTCGCGAAGTAGTAACAAATTAGCGCGTGATGCGTTCCTTGGGACTCAAAGAGTTAAACTTGGTAAGTAAGGGGATGTAATATAATCTTACTGATTATAATTAATCTTGAGGATAATATGAATGTTCTCTCCCCTTGAATAGATGTGGATTATTCTATGCCAACCTGTTAAAAGCAGATTGTACAACTGACAACATTAAGTACTTCTGCTGTTTGACTGGTTATCTGGCTAATGGTTGACTTTTTTTTTTTTTTTTTCAAGTTGGCTGGTTGGTTATGTGGATGATTAGTTGAATGTTTGGCCTTAGCGTTACTTATTTATATACATACTTACTCACACAGAACTGCAAGTTATGTCTTTAGGTAGAAACCGAATAAAAATATAAAAATTAAAAAAAGACGAAGGAAAGAAAAAAGGATATAGTGTAATTTACAAAACAAATTCAGACCACCCCTTTCCCCCCCCCCCCCCCCCCAAAAAAAAAAACAACTGGAAAGTTCTTTCCCTGAAATGCACAGGGCAAAAAAAGGGAGACATAAACAGACATAGACATCAGTTTCATTGTGGCTTCAGTGTTAAAGAAAACAAAACAAACCAGTCAAACAATTCGGCACACACTGTATTTCTGAATGAATTTAAAAAAATATAATATTAGTTATTGTGTGTTTTAATGTGGTGATTAATAGATACAGATCACACCCTGTGTGTTTCATGCAATGATCAATAGATACAAACAATAATTACATGTTTCAGGTGGTGATCTTGCTCAAGTTCAGCGAGCAGTTTGTATGTTGAGTAACACCACTGCCATCGCTGAAGCCTGGGGTAGATTGGATCATAAGTTTGACCTCATGTATGCCAAACGGGCATTTGTCCATTGGTATGTTGGTGAAGGTAAGTTCTTTAAATGCCATCTGATTTTTGCTGATGACACCATCATACTAGAAAGTGTTTGTCTTATTTTAGACACCACCATTGTCTTTCTTGTTCGTGAATTGGAGAAAATAATGGGACAGAGTGTCTGCATCTGTGTTTTAATTGCTGCAAAGGTGCTTTGTAATTTCATGGTGCAAGATTTGATCCACGCTGTGGGTAGTTTGACCACTATCAACATGATGTTAACCACATCACTCACCAAGGACTGATTCATCATATAATATGCCTTTTGCAGAAGTCAATCATGTCAAAGAAACTAGGTCTCTCATCATGGTATCTGATGTTAACCTGAAAGAAATCTAATATGTCTCTAGCCAGCTCTCCTCACCTGCCTGAAAGAAAAACTAGGTGTGCTTTCATATTCAAGGAGTCCAGTGCCCATCTTCGTGCTTGTTGGCTCCTGCCCCTCCTTCCTTGCACCATGCCTTCTGCTATTATTTTCTTCAATCCTCCATGGTGCTTGAAATGACCAAAACATTTCAGTTTCTGAGAGTAGATGATGTTGATCTTTTCCTTGTTGTTCAGATCTTCTAAAATGTCAGTATTTCTTCTCTTCTTTATGTGACTGGTCTATAAAAAATATGAATGCAGCCTCATATGTCTGATGCACTGCTGGAGTATAAAAGTGGCTTTGACTTTGAATTTACTTAACAGGACGGCATGGCTCAGAGATAGGCCTGCAATGTCTGCCTTTGAATAGACTTAATATTGTTAATTTGATGGATGGTAGGTAAAGCAGTAAAGTCAAAGACATTCTGCATGCTGGTGGGGGGGGGGGGGGGGGGGGTGGGTATCAAGTATAAGCTGCTAGTAGTTGGCACTCATTAAGACATATGATCAGTATCGCCTCAGTTACCTTTACTTCCCATAATTTTATAGAAAAAAAGAGCAAGAATAAGATGAATTGGTTCCTGGTGTGGATTCTGGGGCCCCATTGTGGGGAAAACAAAAATAGACCCAGTGCCTTCCCAACAAGCATGTCGTTAGAGTTGACTAATTAAGGGTTTCCTTCAAAATCGCAGTACATCTGCCTGAGAGGCAAGGAACCAACAGTCTGCATACAAATAAGCCAGATGTATGAAATGGATGTGCATGTAACACTCAGGTTCTGGAACAAAACTAAAGTCTAAAGGTGGACAAACAACTAGAACTTTCCAGTGAAATTTAGAGCTGGTGAATACGAAGAAGAAGAAGATAAAGTGATAAACACAAGTAAAGAGTAATTATATGTAATTCCAAAATACCTGGTTTGATTCAGCTGTAGGTCACTTGGCAGCAGACTACTTTGCATGAAATTCAGCAATAATATGGAGTCCCACTCGTTCAGAAACTATAGCAAACTAGTGAAGATACAATTGCTGAGTGAGACCAACAAATAGCCAACCTGAGTATGGGTTGGTTTGCAACATTCTGTAAAGGATATGCATGGATAAATTGACCTGGTCATGCCAAGAACACAGACCTACTCCCTGATTCAGTGATTCTGTTAGTTAACAGACCATAACTCCCTACATTGGAGGATGATGAGACAACTTTGCTCAGATTGCTGTCTTCTTGTGTGGGTTCTGGGGGCCCTATTGTGGGGAAAACAAGAACAGACCCTCTGCCTCCCCAACATGATGTTGTAGGAATCGAGTAACTGGAGGCTTCTACTGAAGTTGGAGTGTATCTGCCTGAGATGCAAGGAACCAACAGTCTGCATACAAATAAATCAGATCAGTAAAACAGGTGTACACACAATACTCAGGTTTTGGAACAAGATCAGAGTCCAGAGGTGGACAAACAACCAGAACTTTACGCCAGAGTTTACACCTGGTAAATGGGAAGAAGAAGAAGATGGCTTACTATATCAATTAAAACAACACTGGGGTTTTCTGGGGAAGTGGTCGAGCCAGTTTAACAATTCTCTGAAAGTCATGGGTTTATTTCCCTGTCAAGTGTGAAATGATTCTATCAGGCAGACTTTGAGAACAACACCATGTGCCAGATTTATTACAAAATAGACGATCAAATTGTTTGCTCATCTGTTTAGGATGCAGTCAGAAAAACTACCAATGTAGGTGGTACACATGAAAAAATCTAATGTGAAATTAAGAGGTCACCCCCAGAGAATATATGACATTAAAGACTTTCAGTTCAGCTGGGAATGACAACAGCCATTGCTTTGCATCAAGAAATGGATCACAAACTGTTCAGCTCTATCATGAGTAACAGCAAAAGTGGAAAGTGATGATAATGATGATTACAGAGATTTCAGGTGATCATCAATGGAGCTTCAGAGTTCATGCTTTATGCAATGCTCTCAGCAGGTGGCTAAACATTTTGTAAAGAGAAACAGAGCCGTATGAGATAAAACCCAGTGTAATAGAGTTAATCCTCTTATCTTTGAGTTTAGCTTAACTTTGTTGCCAATAAATACAGTACTTATGCTTTTCTTCAGGAATGGAGGAGGGTGAGTTTACAGAGGCAAGGGAAGATTTAGCAGCTTTGGAACGGGACTATGAAGAGGTAGGAGTAGACTCAGTAGAGGATGGAGCTGCTGAGAATGAGGGAGATGAGTATTGAACCTAAAGGCTTGGAGCAAGATTCCTGTGTCAAAGAACCAAGTCTGCAGTTTTATTTTTTACATTTATAAATTTTGATAACATTTTTTAGTTAGTGGTATGCCAGTTAACACATGCTAATTTGTTATTGTATGTGCTAATTGATCTTCATTTTTTTATATGCTCCACTGAAAAATTTCATTTGAAAAATGGCCTATTCCAACAAAATTAACTGTCAAACATTTCAACAAGTGCCTCATGTCATAACAAGAAGAAAACATTCTTCCATAAGTATTGTATCAGACAAATAAAACAACTACTTTTCTATTTATTGTTTCCATAAGATACTTGTTTGTGAGTGTTTTTAAATTTGAGAGTATCTTTGAATTTATTTTTAACCTCACAAATCCTTTTCCATCAGGCCTCCATCTTGGTATCATCACTACACATGTCTAAACAGTTGTAACAGACTTAGTACATATAAATAATAAATTAATTTTCTCACGTCAGTAAGGACAAATGATTTTTTTTTTTTAAAGTGTCTTGTTTTTATGTTAATTGATTTTATCTTACTGATTGTGTGGTTGGTTATTCTGTACTGATGTGAATGTTGGACAATTAGAAGGGAAACTGTGAAGAAACTAGAGGCATTTGTGATGTGCTTTTCGAGAAGAATGCAAACACATGCTAAGGTATTGATAGATGAAAGTGACAGTGGATCACTCATCAAAACGGTTTGAAACAGTGCATTTTACTTGCCACTAGGCCTTGAAATAGTGGGGGAAGAAAGTAAGTGGGAACACAGATAAGAGAATACACAAAAAGACAAATGGAAATATGAGTGGAAATCTTGAAAAAACATGCACAACAAAATTTATAATATAAGCAGCATTAATTTAATTGCATTATCAGAAGATGGAGTCACGATTGTGGATTTCTGCTTCAAATCAGAATCATCTGAAAAACAAGAAGATGCAGAAACAAGACATGATTTTGTTGGAACATATTTTAAGTTGTGAATATTCACAATTTGATAAGTAGCTATTGATATATACGTGCAAGGCTGTGTGTACAGCAATATATTATATAAGTTATTGCTAGATGGTTGTAAAGTTTTTGTGGCTTGCTTGATGTTCTATGTGTGCATTGTAATTGTTGCCTCTTTTATCTATGGTATTTAAATTTCAGTCCTTATCAGTTCAGATGATTAATTTTATTAAATTATTTGATATAACTGTTAGATGATATTTTGCTACTTTCACATGTCATGTTTTCATGCCATAAACCTTAATTAAATTATGACTATTTCTTTCATAATTTTTATGGTGTAACAGTTTTAATTAAACAGCATTCAAAGTCTATGGTTAAGAACCAGCAAGGAAATCAAAGTTAAAATTTCGAGAGCATGCATCTTCCCTGTAGCAACATACGGATGTGAGTCATGGACTAACTCTCAGTCCTTAACGAAGAAACTGAGGGCTTTTGAGCTGTAAATGCTATAGACAGATTCTCAGATTACCATGGACAAAGAAGAGGAGATGTACTGACATTTTAAAAGATCTGAATATCAAGGGAAGATTAGGCTACAGCATCTTGTCTCAGAAGCTGAAATATTTTAGCCATATCAAAAGCCACAGCAGATTGGAAAGAATAATAGTAGAAGGCACAGTACCAGGAAGGAAGGGAAGGGGCTGACCAACGTGAAGATGGGCACAGGATGTATGTGACTCCTGGATAAGAAAGTGCCCAAGGCAGGAGAGCTGGTAAGAGACCAGGTTTATTTCAAGCAGACCGTGATGTGAGCAAAATTCTGCAAAGGGCCGGCTACATAATGATGATGATGAATGGCTTTTTTACAACCATTAGTTCTTGTTAAATATATGTTAGTCCTTAGTTTCTGTTGCATTTACTTGCATGTTGTCTCTGACTAGAAATCCATCTCCTATTCGTTTGCTTTATTTGTTTTGACTAGGATTATAATTAATCTTTACTACTCCTGTGTGTTTAATGTTCATCATTATTTAACTTTTTTTGTGTGTGACTAGTTATTGTGCCTTCTTTCTTCTAAATCATATTTGACTATTTCTCTGTTTCATTTACTTCTGTTTTACAAAATTTTATTTTGTGTAATTCTAAACCATGTTTGACTAAAAGTTCACTTAACTCATGAAAAAAATTATATTTGACTATTTTTAATTGTTTATTTCTATTTTTGACTAAATATTTTTACAATGTTTGACCATTTTTACTATGCTTCATAAAAAATAATATTATATTTAATTTTGTCTCTTATGTTTACATAACTGCTATTTTTGATTACTTTGTGGATTGCTTAATTCATTACTATTTTTGACTACTTTTGTTATTGTTACTCAATCTTTACAGTGTTTGATTTTCTGCTGTGCCAAATTATTAACCAAACTGAGTTAATTTTTAATACCATATTATTAAAAGATAACAAGCCTAAGAGATTTTTTGCTCTGCATGCATTTTCTTTTTAGATCAGGATTTCTGATAAATAAGTTGCAGTTGCTGTCAGGGTCTTACTATCTTCTTGTAATTTTCTTCCGTGTAAATTGCTTAGGATCATACTTTTAACTTGTGTGTCTAATTTATTTAATTGTATGTACAGTATGCTACAGCTGTAGCAGTCTTTGTAAATTTGAAGCTGTTTTTTTTTTATTGTGACATATAATATTTGTCTGTAAAACTACAGTATTTTTCCCAAGTACGAGTCACACTTATTTCCCAAAAATATAGGGGTGAAAAGCAACGTGTGGCATCTTATACAACGGTAGCAGATTTTTACCAAATAAATTGTTAGAAAATATCCCACACACGACCTCACTTTGGAACAGCACTTCAGGGGTGATATAAAATGGTAGGAAACAAGTATCACAACTGAAAGTTCTTTTTCGCTGTCAAGAGTTTTTTGCGCTGGTCTATGCACCTGTTACATTCAAAATTGTTGTTTGCACTAAAATTCAAGCACTTGATGTCAGCATTAACAAACCTTTGAAGTTGCCAGCAGAGATAAATGGAACCAATGGATGAAGTCTTCAGAGGAAAATTTTATACCAGCAGGTAGTGTGAAGAAACCAACTATAGCAGAAGTTTATACTTTGAGGAAAAGATCCTGAGATAATGTGGAATTATGAGATCGTTGTCAAGTCATTCAAGATGTGTGTCGTTTAACTCTTTGAGTCCCAAGGAACACATTGAGTCCCTAGAAGCCGAATGAACACATCATTTATGACTTCTTGATACCCCCTGGTCTCTGATGCTAAACCCCCTGGGTAGATGCTAAACCCCTGGCTGATGCTAAACCCCCTGGGTCTCTGATGCTAAACCCCCTGGGTCTCTGATGCTAAACCCCCTGGGTCTCTGATGCTAAACCCCCTGGGTCTCTGATGCTAAACCCCCTGGGTCTCTGATGCTAAACCCCCTGGGACTCAAAGAGTTAAAATGCCACAAATAGAATGGAGAATGAGGCAATCAGATTCATCATCAGACACAGATGAGGACAAGCTTAAAGAACTATTATGCGGATAAGAATTTTGACAGTGATGAGTTTTCTGGGATGAATGAAATGTGAGTTCAGTAACTTGTAATCATATTATTTCTTTCTTTCAAATTTTTAGTCCAAAAATTAAGGTGCGTCTTATACATGTGATCATCCTATACTTAGGGAAATAAGGTAAATCCTCTGTTTCATTAGCTATTGCTGTTTTCAATGGTGTAACTTAGTCCTGTCATTATAGAAAGCCTTAACATATTTTTCTGACCAAAAGGTTCCCAAAACTGGCCTGTCTTCAGTGACCTGTTTCAGAAAAGTTTAGTTTCATGTTATTGGTTTTTTCTCACCAGTGCAGCATTCAGTAAGCCCCGGACATGAATATGTATACTAAAAATATTTATGGGAGTTTTGTTTAAGGTCATGTTGATAACACATTAAAAAAAAAAAAAATCTCACTGGCAGAGGTCTTGGGCTCATTGCATGAGTTACTAAAAATATACATTTTTGAGGCCCTGGAGAATATCTAGTGTTTCATTCTGCTGATAATTTTTGATTATTTTTTTAAAATATATTTTTATGTATTAGAAACAAAAGATGTAGATAACACATTTTAAACAAATATTTTAGGGACTTTAGTTAAGTTATAGTCTTCTTTTTTGTTTTTGGTTAAAATAATTTTTTTTTCAAAGGAATTCGGATGGTTTCATGACCAATTTTTTAAAGTGACTTCTGGGCAAAATGGGTAATGCATGCTTCCTTGATGTAATATAGTTATTCCGTCCTCTGTTTTGCACAGAATTTGCAGTGCTTGGCTTGGCTTTTTACACATTTTCTCCCTGGGTTCTAAAAGATGTTACATGTATTACAGTGTTTTGTATAATGTAAACTGTTTTGTATAATGTTAGTGTTACAAATTCTTACATGACATACAATTTAGAAAAAAAAACATTTTTACACTGGATAGAATGGTGCATACTATTATAAAAGTAAACTTGTGACCAACATATAACATGATTTTTTTAAATTGTTTTATAAAATGCTAATGTTTACTTTAATTCTTGTTTTTGGTTTGTTTTTTGTTGTTGTCTGATCAGTTTCTGCAAAGCTTACTAGGCATTGCAGTGACACTTGAATCACATATCAGGTACCAAGCCTAGTTTTTGTTTTTCAATTTGTTTTGCTAATGATTCATTTTTTTTAGTACATCTGACAGATCCTACCTTTTCATTAAAGCCAAAAGGTTGAGAAGCCAAATGTATTTACTACTTTAAGCATTTAAAAAATCAAAGACAACTTGCAAAATATTTGTTTATGTGAATAATCAACACAGTATAATTTTGGGACCATTTTTATGGCACCTAACATACATTTATTCATCATTTTTGGTATTCTCTTCTATACTGGAATATAGGGGTGCCTTAAAGTATTAATTACATTATGATGCATATGCACAAACTTCAAAGTCACTGAGGTGCTGAATGGTGATTGTAGCAATGACAACATAT